TTTTTTTTTTAATATTAAAATTTAGAACGCAGTGTAATGAATATATATATATAATATAGAATAAAACAATAATAGTATTGAATTATGAAAGACATTAAAATTAGAAGATACATTTGATTAACGAAATATTATTTATTTATTCTGAAATATTATATTTTTCTGACTTTTTCACCTGTTTCAATAGCTCTGGTTTTCCCATAGCGTACGTATGAAATTCGACGTGAAATTCATGGTTTTAGAATACAAATATAATTTTTATAAAAACATAATTTATTATAATTATTGGTACTAATATTATTTACACATAACCGGGACTTTTGTAGGGTCTAGTGGGACGACCGGGACAGAAGTCATGAACTGGTGACATGTCCCGGTGTACCGGGACGTATGGCAACCCTATTCTAACGTCACACCGACGGGCATGTCAATACTCTATCAATGTTTTACATTAGGAAGTATTATCCACGTACGCACGTCTTTTGCCCTCTGTGATATTATTATTTTTCTATTCCTCTTCTTGTGTGTATATAGCACCCTCCACTCCTTCTAACTGTATTCATCTCCGTACCTGCTGCCACTAAGTCGTAAATGTATATTTAATATTATAATTTCCCCCCCTCCGCCGATGATATAATTATAATATAATATATTTATATACTACTTATATAGTTACAATTTTACAAATTACAATTTATACATACTGCGTATTTGCGTGTATTATTAATGTATTATTATATACATTGTTGTACTTGAACGAGCCCGACGATGACGTACATGTTCGTGATTTTCTATTTGATTTTTTTGCAAATCTTTGACGCCGCATACTGTTGCAATAATATTTACCATATACTCATGTGAATAAAAATATTTATATAGGTACGTAAAACTTAAATAATACTCGCGAAATCTGAATCGAACAATAAGAAATGACAGACAAGAGACGTTTATTATTATTATTATTATTATTATTATTATTAAGGAATTAATGAGCCCGCGAGCGTGTTTGAATACCTACCTATATATTATATTGTAATTCTTTCGAAAATAATATAATACACGCACTCATAAACAATATCATGTTATTATATTTACCTCTATAAACATATACACAAACACACACGCATATAATATATACTCGTACAAACACTTTTCTGACTACCGGTAATGCGATTGAATCGTCGCTGTTGCAAGGTTATAAGGTGTGTACAATGGTAAAAATATATAAATGTATATTACATTAAAATTGTACTCATTTATGGTCTGCATACTACGACAAACATCGTTACCTAATTGATTCGTCAAAACTCGGATATTCATATATTTAAGTAAAGAAACTGCCAACTGGAAAATATATACGGTATAAAATATAGATAGGTCATTATAGGTTCCGTTCGAGCAGTTTTTTTGACTGAAATGTTTAAAGTTTGAACGATTTCCGTAGAAATATCATATGATAATATTGCATGCGTTTTTCGTTGATAACATTATAGGTCGCCCTGCGTGAATTGCAATTAGTTCCCCCGGGCGTTTATCGCAATTAAATACACAACTGCAGCAAAACACACAGGAATTACTTATATATTTATCGCTGTCAGTAAAAAAGTTTTAATAAAGTCGAGAATGATGTGTTTTCGTATTGACATTGTGTAATATTTAGAAATATTTGGAAGAAAACAATCTCATATAACCGACTCTCGTTTCTGGAGTATAATATTGTTATATAGGAATTTAATATTTGTATTATATTATGTACGACAAACATAAATCGTTTTCTCGAGTGATACGGTATGTATAGGAAAATATTTCATAGAAATAACTATCGTTTGATAAAATAAAACCAATACATAATAGACAAGGGTATATTGAAACTTTTAAAAAAAATTATGCTAATTAAATCGCGAGCATTATGATGAGCTGTTGCCCATAATATGTATCATTACGTTCGGGTTATTGAAATTGATATTGGGGAATTCTAGTTACTATAAATCATACTTGAACATTCGTGGAAAACATACTTCTGCGAATTCAGAAACCCCAATCGTGAACGAGGTCGGTCCCGGTCACCTCACGGGAAATGATACAGGTCGCTCGAGGACATCGGTGTGGGAGCTGCTGCAGCAGATCGCGGTTGACCACTTGACCGTGGTCGCGGCGACGTCGTCGCCTCGGGGTGACCGTATACCAGACACAAAAAATTCGCAATAACGGTATAAGCACTCCGCCGTACATAAAAAACCTATCTATATATTTTATATTATAATTTGGGTTATTTGAACAGTCCAGACTGTATGGGTGCATGACGAGACACGGTCACGGGATTCCCCCAGTCTCGTGAGGTTATTCCGTCAGCAGAAGCTTTATGGAACTATATATACGAAAATAATAATATAATTATATATAGGTACCCGCAATTGGTTTATTTCAGTAATCCATTTAAATTATATAAAAAAAAATGTTTTTATATTAGAGTTTCTACCTATTTCAATTTCACAAAAATATCTATTTTCAAACAATTCTATTTCGAAAATGCCGTGCAGCCGGCAGCAGTTCAACTTTAAGAAATATTTCTTTACATTAATATTACGATATATTATTAAACCTACCTAATAATAGTTAATAGGTTGCACAATTATTGGCAATTCTAGTGCGCGACTGCATAACACGCGAGTCGCATACAATATAATATATCCACTTCTGCTGCTGCAATTGCATTTTTTGAGTAGTCCACAACAGCGTCGGACACTTATTATATAGATATGAATTATACAGCATATATGTTATACCTAATAATATGGCATTAATTAATAATACATACAATGATCTAATGTAATATTAATAATAAAAATAACGACTGACACGCACGATGGACATGAAAACGCATCGTTTTGGAAAAAGAGAAAGAGACAGAAAAATCGTGTCATAGATTTGCCGACCCGTCGGTATAGTGAACGAATATTGATTTTTGTATTGTAGATACGTATAATGCACGGGACCGCCGTGGTCAAATATTATGATTTCACGTAACGTCGTGCCCATTAGCCGCCGCCTTATACGGAAATACGCGAAATTATCATTATTTTTCGAATTCAGAAACTCTCGTTTTTGTATACATACCGGAAACTTGACATTGCTCGGAGTAAAACACGGGTATGCGAACGCTCATTTCAAAGAATGGAACAAATGTCCTATTCGAGTAATTTTTTAAAAATGTTCTCGCGTTTTCACTACGTCATATTGTGGAAAATCACTGAGCAACATCGGGAAGGCCACTGTTACGCGATAGCTAGCAAGATAAGCTGTCTCTGTAGAGGACGTACAAAGGTAGCTTACGATTCTATAATTGTCGGACTATGCGGAGAATATAGGTGACCAGGTATATGCGTTACCAAGATCTTTGTTTATTCTAACTACGCCACTCGTTATTGTTTGCTGCTGCTGTAATACCGCGTGAAGCCATGTCCGGTGGATTTCCTTGACGTGATAAATAATTTAATAATCGCCGCGCATTAGAAACGTTATTATTGTTAGAGGTCGTCCGAACTAATTAATTTGGCCTAATATTAAAGTGCACATATTTATATATACGAAGGTACACTGCATAGCAACCCATTCCACAACGCAGTGATTGCCCAGGCAAATCGATAGTAGTTCTTCGAGAAATTTATATTTTGTATGCTTACATAATATACATATAATAATAATTATACCCACTTTTCGTATGTGGCGCAATGTTATTATATTCCTTAGTAAAAATAATCATTATTATTGTATATTATTTATTAATTATTATTTTTTGATTTATGGTCGTAGGACGTAGCTTAATGTATACGAGTATATTGCACGTTTTAACTCTTAAATCGATTGTCAGAAATGTGCGCATCAATTACCACAGCTATAGTTTTTTTCAGCTCTCCGTATAAGTGGAGTTTCTCATTCTTAAGAGTTAAGAGTTTATTGTTTAAGACTATATAGTAAAAATGTATAATATTATTTGGCTTATGCGTACACACGCTGTATAATATACACCACTCCGTAAACTGAAATAATTTAAAATAAATATATAATATCTTGAGTTAATAATTAAATAATTGCCTCACCACTAATGTTCTGAATAATATTAATGAAAATTAACGTTTT